ATATATATATATATATATATATGTAACGTTTGAAATCTGAGGTGAATGTTGCTCAAACGGGGTTGCTACCCCGATAGCGGGATACACGACGTGGAGAGAAAAGTCGTCCTGTTAATCAGTAATATTCGGGAAAAGATCGAAGATGATAAATTTAGTCGAATTGAAAGAAGAACTTGCCAATTCGGACATCGAGAAGGACGAAAGTTTTTGGAAATTTCCACGTTTGTGAATTTGAAATATCGAACGCTTGAGAATCGAAAGATTTACGAGTTACAAGGCTCGAAAATAGAAAAATCTGGAGATCGTAAGTTGCAGAAGAGATTAAAAAGATTGCAAAAAAATTAACAAGAACACTCCAAAGTGTTCCAGTATTTGTAAATTTATTATTTCAAGAAGAAGAAGATTGGGAAGAATGATCTTCGGTGATCTCTTCGCAATATAAAAACCATAAAATCTCACGAGATCCGAACTCGTCCACCGTTGTCAGCTCGTTTCGTTGACAAAACGAAAATTTGGATCCAGCTGTCTTGTCTGATAATCCTAATACGGATTCGATTCAATAATTGTAATTGCGAGGTGGCGTGAATCGCGCGTAGACACGGGGCAATTTTGTTTGTGCGTGTGGACGGAACGGCTGGGTCTCGCGATGCAAATCCTGTTAATTTAGAGCGCAAGCAAACGGAATTTACAGCTGCCTGCCGACTTAAATGTCGCCCCGGATCTACTGGGAGCGCGTGGATGAGCTGTAGATCGGTATATGTATGTGCATACATTTCGAAGACGGGCCGAAGAAGCGAACAGCGAATTAGCATACTGCTCGAGGATCCACCGTCTCGTGTCTTGACATCTATAGAGTCGGATCGTTTAACGGATCAGACCGTTTAGCCTCACCCTGTTAAATACGTTGCAGCTTGTTCACCGAGTCCTCCAGCGGGTTTTCGTTAATTCTGCTTAATAAATGTCAGATCTCTTCACGGTATTTAATTTAGATAGAAGAGAGCGTGAAGTAACGTGGCCAAGTCGAATGTAAAGTAAACTTTCAAGACGAGGTCTTGGAATTTCTTTCGATTTGCTTTCGAAGTTTCAATCTACTTTAAATCGTCTTTTGAAAATTTTCGTTTCACCTAGCACATTCGTTTCCTTTTCGAGTAATATCTCTCAATTACTTGAGAGAGTTTCGAGGATTTCAAGATGTGAATGCGACTGATCAATCTTGAAGTTCGAAAGCGAAAAATATTCAAGATTCGGCGAGTTTTTAAGCCCGCGAAGAGATTTGTAGATTTACAATGTTCGTAAGGCACAATGTAACAAATACACTGGAAATCCAATAAAAGCATCGATTATTGTAAACGCGAAAAATAAAATACCTGTACTCGACGATCATTTGCAAAAACTGTACATCAGCGGCTTGATGATTTTAACCAATTTGCAGTTGCGACACAGTGAAAAGGCTACAAGTATCCACTGGGTGGTGAGGCGGGAACTTTGAAGTTAACAAGCCTCACCCTCGGGATAACGGTTAATAGCGATTTAGTGCGTTTACTTGCCACGCTATGACCAACTGTGTACGCACAAAGCGAAATTTAATTAAAAGGAAGTCGTGTCGCGCGCACGCTCGCGAAAGGCTGCCTCGTTTCATAAGTTTCGGTGTTGCAACTAACTCTCTTCGTAATTCGAGATAGATACGGTGCACGATCAATGACGTCGTCTATGAGTTCAGAAACACTGGAGAGAAGAAGAAAGTTATAGGCTAATTCGACTGGGAAATTCACTGGGAAAAAGTTGGAAAAGGTAGTGGAATTGTGATTTTTTTTTATTTTTAATTTAATTGAACGTGGAGAATTTGAAAATAACAGAGGCTGGAAAAAGGAAAGGAAAGGAAATTCTGAATTTCGATAGTTAAAAAATTCAACATCTGATGAATTTGTAATAAATTATTATAAAATTAGATTATAGATTATAAGTTTGATTCAACATGGATAAAATGAAGTACACGGAATGTATAAAATTCAAGAATTTGAAAATAATAGGGATTGGTAAATCTTAAAGTTTGAAAATTAAAAAAATTCAACATCCGGTGAATTTGTAATATATTGTAATTAATTATTATAAAGTTAGATTACAGATTGTAGATTATTGTAATTGTTATATATTACATATTATATTACATATTACAGAAACCAAAATTTGTAAATTACATATTTGCAATTTACAAGTTCGAGAACTTTCAAATTTTGAAATTCTTTGTACTTAAACTTTGGGATTTATCAGTTCCCATAATTTTCAAATTCTTCAATTCTCTGAAACGCATACACTTGCGAGTCCGAAGATTCGTATACAAAGAAGGCACGATATATTGTAAATTGGATAAATCAAAATTTCTAGGAGATACGTCTTCCAGCAGATAGATCTTGAACACTTTGAGAGTGTGATAGTTAAAAATAAATAGAAAGCACAGAAAGGGAGAAAAATAGAAATAATCGAACGTTCTGTTTCGTGCAATCACTGAAAATACTTCTTACTTCTCGTTTGAAAAAAGAAACGGACAAAGCAAAAAAAAAAAAGGAAGAGGAAAAAAAGGATAAAAGCAACGCTCGATCCTATTTGAGTTAAAAGGAAGAAACGCGTTCGAGCTTATAGCTCTCGTTCAGAGTGGCTCTTTGATCTTCCGTTTTCTTGCCCGTCCATTTCCATCTTGCCGTATTCGGCGCTCTATGCTTGGATGCTTGTGTGTCCTGACTAACCGCTGCCCATGATTTCACGATGAAGTTGCTGATCTAATCAAATGCCTCAAGGGTCTGGGTAGAAGGACGTTCGCGTTAGTCTCGCGCTAGTCTCCGGCCATGTAAATTAAGCGTGACGCTACGTCGGAATCTGACCTCGTCGTTAGAATCTTGAAACTTCGCGTTATTAAGTCGATCTGTCGGCTGATTGGTGAATTAAAGCCACGTGTTACGCGACATGCTTGAGATAATGATAATAATTAGACTACGAAATTTTGAGCATTTACGGAAAATTTGGAGGTATTCATAATATGCATTATATGTGAAATATTTTATAGTAAAATGATTAAAATAATTTTATGACGACTAGATTGAACTTTCTTGTGAAGTGAAAAAAATAAAACGTTTTTAATTAAGTATTGTTATAAGTTATCATGTATGTATTTTCACGATGCATTTATTTTTATCTTCAAATTTTCCATAAATGCACAATTACCGGCAGTCTAGTATTGATTCCTCGAATTTAGTGAGAATTTTGTCAAGGTAGGAATTTTGTTCTTTCTTGAGAATTAATGGATAATTTATTTCAACGAAATTATCATTTATCTTATTTCATTTTATTATTATAATTTTGATGAAAATTTGTTATTTATTAAGAATTAATGAACAGTTTACAATATTATATTATAATAAAATATTATATTATAATTTTGATGAAAATTTATTGTTTATTAAGAATTAATGAACAGTTTACAATATCGAAGTTATCATTTATTCTATTTGATTAAAATTATAATATGATATATATTATTCTGTCGTAAAAGTATTTGAACATTTATCACAAAACATCTTTTATGTAGATATATGTATATTATGTGTGTTAAAATGAATATTATCAAAATTATCACTAGTTATTAAAATCATCAGTATTCTCATATCATATGTATTCTCCATTTTTTTTTGTACACAATGTACAAAATAATATTTCATTCTAATTTATTTGCTTGATTATATCGCGCGTATATTCTCGCCAGCCACGAAGTACAATGTTGTACTTGTACAGAATGTACTATTTAACCAGTGATGTATTGCCCTACACAACAAGTCTGATCCTACACTGATGCATTCCTTTTGCAAACAGCGAGGATCAATGTACGACCGAGCAAGTAGAATACATTCTTGATTAGTCAGACAGAGGGTAGACGAAAGAGAAGAGAAATTTCAGCGATTTCTTCATGTTATTATAGTTTTGTAAATTGACAGGAAAGTGAAATGTCACGTACTAATATTGAAATAATTATGAATATAAATAATTTATTAACTAATATTGTCATAATAATTATATTAATATTAATATTATTATTGTTATTGAATGTGACAAATGATTTATATTTCTTTTTTACAATTTTAAAATTTTACTTTACCTCCATTTTCACTGTAGGAACATTTGTTGGAAAATCATTTGCCAAGTTTGTTGATAAACGTTCACCTTGTATTTTATTATTAAACGTGTTCAAATTGTGTATCTAAAAGAATTCATTGTTAATGATCGTTTATAACTTGTGATTTGTAAAATTTCGTTTAACAATGTCAATATTAGCAACATTAAACAAATTAAATAACAATCATCAGTTCAATCGTGCAAGAAAGTTTTAGTTCTTTTAAATTTAAAGTTCTTTTTCTTATGTTCCTTTTTCATCGTTTTACGAAAAAAAAAAATAGAAATAAAACCAAATGGAAATATAATTGACCCACTATCATATACTATAATTATGCTGCGTAATAATTTTATGTAAAATGAACATAAACCATTAGTTCGCGCGTTTCACTTTCCACTTTCAATTCCGAGAGCAGTATGCAAAACTGCCATACTGCCTTTAGTATTCCGCCGAGTTTAGTGCAGGAAATGAGTGGAGGAAGAGATGGCGTGTGTTTAAGAAATTTCGCGAGAAATCAAAGAAGTCGCGAATAAACGGCCCTGGTGACGAGGACAAGGAAAAAGGAAGAAAAAAAGAAGCGGCTTTCGCGAGAACGGAAGTGGTTCAAAGAGTCACGGTTTACTGTCGACACTTTGCGCGAGCGTTTCCATCGTTAAAGGCCCCAGTTTCTTTCAAATTACTTTTTTAAAATCTGTCACGCTCCTTATTTACCAATGAAAGAGAAAGAGCGACGACTGTGAATCGTACGTAACGCGAATAAAAGAACTTTCTCGAGAAAACTGAGTTGAGAAATTTGTCAAGTAAATACTAATTTCAATCGACAGTTTGAGGAAATGAGACGAAAAATACAAAATAAAATTATTCGGACACTCGAATGGGAAATTGTTACAACTTTGTAAAATAAATCATGTAGCAATCCGTTTATTTTGACAATCCGGAATTTGTTCTCAAAGATGTTTTTCTTTTTTTTTTATATAATGGGAAACTAAGTATTTTTATTTTTGAAAATTATAAAAAGTATTAAATTAAATATTAGAAACATTCTTTTAGATTAGAAACATTCTTATAGATAAGACAGATTTTATAGCGACCTTTTAAAAACTTGCTATATGATTTTTTTTTTCCGCTATTTCATTGAACTTTGAATGTTAGGAAAAATTTAAAGGAATCCAAGCAAAACGTTTGTTCAATCTAATCCTGATGTAGCAAGTTCAATAAAACGAGAAGAAATTGTACAGAGAAAATTTCAATCTTCAAAATTGGCCCATGAAAAAGAAAATTTGTTCGACGTTTTTAGAAACATTTTTAAATTTTCAACGAGAGTACATTGTTATTTACAAAGATTGTGTTTTTACAAAGTTACACT